ACTTCTCTGGACCCGAGCTCATCTGAGATGGACTGACACAAAGTGGAAAAGTGTGAAGTGGTCTGACGAGTCCACATTTCAGACTGCTTAAGGAAATCATGGACGTGGTGTCATCTGGTCGAAAGAGGAAAAGGACCATTCAGATTGTTCCCAGCTCAAAGTTCAAGCATCTGTGATGGTATTGAGGTGTGTTGGTGCTAGGGTTGAGAACGATTAACCAATACGACTGGATATCCGGTTTGACAAGCGAGAGATATGGCTACGTCGGTAGCAGCCTCCTCAATCGATACGAATCAGCCATGAATCCTTAGATGAATCGATTGTAGAGTCATGGATTCGGGTATCGCGAGACTAGCAACCGGTTGACTGACTTTAACAGTTTGCATCTCGAAAACAACGCGAGAGACGGCAGCATGCTCGTAGCAGGCATTACTGACAACGATAATGGATGTAAACATCAGCGCCAGCTTGACCGGTGGAGCTGAGGAACAGAAGCTAATGCTGGTTGGATAAACCAGGGAGCAGCCAAGCCGCAGCAGAAACTAAACGGCGAATCCTGCCAGTTGTGGGTTGAACGGGGGTCACAGACACAGACAGAAATACGTATTCTGTCAAATACGGCGGCGCATGATAACGGCTTACCGGCGACCGACAAGCCCGGCTCCAGGTCCAAGAAGTCTTCGTCGGTGTCATGACTGCCCAGAAATACCTGAACAGCCGAGCTGCAGTAGCACCAGCACACAGGTATGTGACGTGTCAGAGGCGAAACGAGCAGTTCACATTTCCACAAACCTCACTGCACTTTAGGGACTGTTCTTTACCTATGAAGGGACTGTTCTTTACTTGTCAGAGGAGGAGGGTGGCTGGTTGATTTTGATTTTATTTATTTATTTTATTTTGATCCCCCCTTATGTTAATCACTTATTGATGCTGTTTTTGAAGTATGAATAAGTCAATAAGTAATTTATTCCATTGAAATATCATTGATGTATTATAGAAAAGTGATTTATCTTTTTATAAATGACAAGATAACAGAGTGTAGCAAACACAGAGAAATAGTCTGACATGCTGTCAGTGATAAGCTGCTAGTCATCACAGTCCATGATATCAACTAATAACAGGAGATGTCAGATTCTGCCCCTACATTGCATGTTATTATTTTATTCTGCTTTATGTTTATGTTGTACAGTGTTATAATAAACTTTATTCCAGACTCAAGTCCATATAAGATACATACAAAAACACAGACAATACCATAAAAACAACACAACAAGTAGGTTTAAAACACTTAAATTTTACTTAAAGTTCACTTAAAGTTTAAAACGTCTTCTCATTTTTATATTGATCCCGTCCAACAAAATGATGTTCATTCAGCAAGACTTTTTTTGGTCCATGTCTAAAAATAAATACATTTGACATGTGATTTTGTTGTTGTTTGACTTTTTATTTTATTTTTCCCAGTGCCATACAGCAACAATGCTTGGGGATGTGGTCTTTTACAAATTTGAAAATACTGTAAGAATGTCACTTTTATAGAATTGGCTTCTTTATTTTATAATGTATGATTAATGTCTACATCAACAAATGTTAACCATAGAATCGTATCGAATCGTATCATTCCTACACTGTATTAAATCGTATCTTAAATGCGCCGCGCGAAGGCGTAATGAGAGTTTACTCAATTCGCCATGGCAGAAGAGAGCGGCAGCGTCAGACAGCCAAACTTCTCACAGGAGGAAACTGATGTTTTGGTCCGGGAGGTCCAAGCTCACAGTGTCCGAATATACGGAACCGCGAGCAGACCTCCACGGGTTGATGATGCAAAGGTAGCCTCGGAGGAGGTCACCACAATTGTAAATCAATGTTGCGTTTCTCTCGTGCGCGGGCACTCTCTCTTTCTCTCTCGCAGTCTCACTTTATTTCTTTTCTTTTGACTTTTCTAAGATGACAGATGCTGAATATATACTCCCTATCTGATGCTGTGGCTGTTTGTGGTTGGCTGAGAGGGATGTGAACTCATTAGTTTGCAGCTGTGTTAATCAAATCAGGTTGGGTTTCCATTACGCGTGCCAAACGTGCCAAACGTGCCAAACGGTGCCAGTCCTATTTGATCTGACATCAGATGTGACGGGACAGTCGATATAGAGATACATTTATGTGCTGATTGCAGATAGTTGCATTGAATAGTGGGTATTTATTTCATTGTTAATGTGCCTGACATCCTGGAGACCTGCCTGTGAGGTTTTGGTGACGTGTGCGCACTGTCCGCCGGTCAGCCAAACTTCGGCTTACACTGGCTGCGCTCCGCCTGCGCTGACAGTAGACCTGGTTTCAGTTGGCAAGCTTTTAGCGCACCTTCTGCGAAGCCTTTTGGCACGAAACTGTCACTGCGCCAAGCTGGATCTGTCGACACCTCTCCCTGCTCGGTCTCGGTCTGCCAAACTACCAGACTGAGCACGCCTCGGGTTGCGCTGCTCAAAACTAGCTCTGCGCGGGGTTCGCCACCCTGCGCTGCGCCGGGAAACTAGAGCCCTTAGTGTCCTCAGTTCACAAACACTTACTGAGTGTTGTTTTATTTAATTTATTTTTTTTAATTTAATTTAATTTTTGATTTATATACTTTATTAATCCCCCTGAGGGGAAATTCAGTTTTTTCACTCGGTTGTCATTAACACACAGGTCTGAAATACACACACATGCACAAACAGGACCTATACATGCACAAAGTGGAGAGATGTCAGAGTGAGCGGGCTGCCTTGGTCAGGCACCCAAGCAGTTGGGGGGTTCAGTGCCTTGCTCAAGGGCACCTCGGCAGTGCCCAGGAGGTGAACTGGCACCTCTCCAGCCGCCAGTCCACGCTCCGCATTTGGTCCGGACGGGGACTTGAGCCGGCAACCCTCCGGTTCCCAACCCAAGTCCCTAATGTACTGCCACCCAGTCTTACTTGTTTAAAATAATAGTGATGTCACACAGTGGTAAACATGCTCCTGTCCCAACATTTTGGAACGTGTTGCAGACATCAAATTCAGAATGAGTGTATATTTACAAAAATCAATAAAGTTTATCAGCCTAACATTAAATATCTTGTCTTTGGATTGTATTCAGTTGAATATAGGTCAAAAAAGATTTGCAAATCATTGCATTCGGTTTTTAGGTTTTACAAAGTGTCCCAACTATTTTGGAATCAGGGTTGTATTTTAGTGACATGGTAGTGGTGTGTAGGCCAATTCATGGTGAACTGGAGTGTACCTGCAACCCTCCTTTTATGGTGTCAACTTTGTCTTTGTAAACTTGTGCAAATCTGCCATGTCCATAATCTGCAAGCATGCTATAATAGTGTCATGGCAAAAGTAGTATTCTTAAAAAGATTTGCTGCTTAGTCTAGGGAATTAAGCCTTTGGGCTGTACCAGCTACTGACAAAACATGAATATAAAGAAAGGAAGCAGGCCGTACCTGAATCACAGTGACAGAAACTAAACCAAAATTAAATTATCATACATTGTTCATCACCACCTTTGACCAAGACAATATTTCAATTTAAATTGGCCATGTCAGTATTTTTGGGTAGCTCTTTTTTTTTTGCTGTCTGGGTTGAGAACTGTGGATGCTGCTGTGGAAATAATTGATAACAAGAGCCTCTATAACTTGCTATGATACAGCAACATGTTTCATCTGAAGGTACTTTCAGGCTGACATTTTTCTGTAGCTCAAAGCAGTGTGAGCGATATCAAATATCAATATTGTGCTCTGAGCTGTAGTTGGTAGTTTTGTCATATTTGCTCAGTTGGTCACCATGTTCACACAGTGTTACACAAAGCAGGTAATTTGTGTAAAAAGAAAAAAACATGTTCCACTCCGTCCTCTGAATGGTCTAATGGCATGACTGCACATGAACGAAAACAACCAATCAGTGCAGAGTAGGTTCTAACATAGCTGTCAATCATGTCAACCACTGCTCATGAACTGCAGTCAAACTATCAAGCCAGGCAGTCCTGATCAAACATGCTATTTCTTGCCTCAGATGTTTTCAGAAACATATTTTAGCATAGCAGCCGCCACGTTAACAGCTGAGCTGAAATCAAGCACCACCCACTGGCTGAAACAAACTCTCATTTTACAGCTAAACAGTACGCTAAAATATGTTTCTGAAAAGATCTGAGGAGAAAAGTAGGCAATACAGTAACTCTATCTTGATTCATATTTGATCAGTACTGCCTAGTTTGACAGTTTGACAGCACTTCCCGAGCAGTGATCAACATGATTGACAGCTGTGTTAGAGACTCCTCTGCCCTGATTAGTTGTTTTCCAACAGCTGCGATAAATTTGGGCAAATGCCATTAGAAGCACTACGAGCAGGAAGATGGACATTTTTCAGACTGTCTCTTGTACTACTGTGTGGATGTAGTGACAGTTACAGCAAATATGACAAAAAGGTGTTTTAATTGAATTGCTGTACTCGCACAACAGGAGGTGCTGCAGAGCTGTCCGGGTTGATCGAAGTTGGTGATGAAGTTCTGTCTGTCAACGGCTGTTCTCTGGAGGGCCTCATGCACCATGATGCCTGGAAAATTATCAAAGCCACTGACGAAGGACCTAACCACCTCCTCATCCGCAAGCCGCGGTCCTGACTGTATGAGCACAGAGGCAGAAACATCCTGATGTGAAGCAGCCCTCTAATACAGGGTACGGACGAGCAGTAGAAACGAGGAAAAGAAATTTCACACTTTTTACAGATTTTCAGATGGACTTCATTTGAGATTTTGTGTTTTGTCTTGTTACATGTGTTTGTACTTAGAATTAGGTCACATTGGATGGACCACTAACTATTGATGTATAAATTGCTGAATCATGATTTATTTCAGATGGGACATGCAGTTTGTTTACAATAGATATACTTTGGACTATATAAACTTTGGGAACTGAAAAACGTTTTTTTTTTTTTGTTTTGTTTTGGGTTTTTTTGTTGTTGTTTTTTAAATAAAGTCAGTTTGTGAAAAGACCTGTGGCTGCTTGTGTTTATACCATTCAGGCTAACTTGTGAAATAATTGTTACTGATTGTTGTTGAACATCTTTGCACTCTCAGCTTTAAAAATGTTACTGTCTTACAAACAATTTAAAGTCTTTCCCAACATTTTAAAGCTTTTACAATATATACACAACTTTGGAATTGAGTTATCTTTATTGATTTAATGTTACTGAAAGGGAAAGTTTGAATTTTTTTAAGTGGGGTTGTATGGGGTACTTATCCAAAGACAGATTACTACGAACAGAAGATGTCAGTTGACACGCCCCCAGTTTGGAGAAGCAGACTGGAGTCTGACATTGAAGCTAAGCAATGTACTGCTGTGGAGGAGTCAGCAACAAAACATATTTTAGCCACCAAAAAAAAGAATCAATATCAGTGTAAATGTACACTATATTGATAGTACTTTCACTGCTTAACTTAATATCAGACAGTGACTTTCAACTGGAAAATTAAACTGTTACATCACTCTCTCTTCAAAGCCAGACTCCATGAAGGAAAACAGTGATTTAACATTGTCGAACACAAGAGCTGCTGATCTACCACCTCCTCAATCTGTTATTTTTTGTTACTGTGTGACTTTGGCATTTAAAATGGTAAGTTCAAATTCACTAAAGTCACACAATAACATAAACTAACTAAACAATGGAAGCTGTGGTAGATCAGAAGCTCCTGTGTTCAGCGAGCTAAAATGACTTTTTCTCTAAGGAGTCTGGTGGCTTTGACAAGAGCATAGATGGACTGAAGGTGTTAACTGCTTCTTTGTCGGAAAGGGCTGTCTCGTGGAAAGTAAAGCACTAAAAACACTGTCAATATATCATACACTTTTTAGGTGGGACTTTTTTAGGTGGTTAAAATATGTTTTGTTGCTGACCTCGATCCACAGCAGTACATTGCTTAGCTTCTGTGTCAGACTCCAGTCTGCTTCTCCAAACTTGGGGCATGCCAGCTGACATCTACTGCATGTAAAAAACTGACTATGGATATGTTCCCCATACAACGCCACTTCAAAAAAAAAAAAAAAAAAAACTATCTCTATAAAGCTTGCATTACAGATCCTCATATATTCACTTAGCTCCTAGTACATGTACCAGGGTCCAAACCAGGTCTGATAGGGTCATGTTGTGTTGCTGCAGGTCTGTGGTCTGTGAGATTCATTCATTCATTCATTCATTCATTCATTCATTCATTCATTCATCTTCTAACCGCTTCATCCTCTTGAGGGTCGCGGGGGGGGGGCTGGAGCCTAACCCAGCTGACATCGGGCGAGAGGCGGGGTACACCCTGGACAGGTCGCCAGACTATTGCAGGGCTGACACATAGAGACAAACAACCATTCATGCTCACATTCACACCTACGGACAATTTGGAGTCACCAATTAACCTAATCCCCAATCTACATGTCTTTGGACTGTGGGAGGAAGCCGGAGTGCCCGGAGAGAACCCACGCTGACACGGGGAGAACATGCACACTCCGCACAGAAGGGCTCCCACACCCGCTGTGAGGCGACAGTGCTAACCACCACACCACCGTGCCGCCCTGGTCTGTGAGATAGTATGTCTAATAGTAGGGCCAATTGCAGACTGTCTATCAGCTCTGTCAACCACATTGTGGATCAGAGCTGGTATGTTGTATGTAGCTCAGTAGCTCAAAATTCTGAAAATGATGTAATTCTTTTCCCTAATGCTTACAATTAAGAAAAACTGTACTTTATCAATGTTCCCAAGAGTTAAGACTTTGTCTCAGGCAGTAGAGTAAGGTAATTACAACAGGTTCCAGTGCATCATAGTTGCTATATATGCGCCTAAACTAGTTTCCGCATAGTCTTATCATTTCGTCACATGATCAAATGGAGACTTGACATTGGATAACACCAACACCTATATTATACCTATATTACCTATATTAAGAATATATAGCCCAGCAAAGTGCACTGTTTTTTGTTTAATGAGAGTTTTTTCTTTTAACACTGGCATACATAAGGTGACACTCTCTCTATGGGCCTCCTCACCTCATGGGCCCTAGTGCAACGGCCCTGCCTGCACTGTCTATATTTACGCCCCTGGTCTCGGGTCTCAGATGATTTAAGAGGACTCTAGTGGAAGGCAGACACAGCACACTAATCAGATTTTATAAATGCATTTTAAAAAGCAAGGCATGTGCCAAATCAGGTTAAATCACATCTAGATAAAACCACAGTGTGCAACACTGTGAGATACCCATCATTTTATCAAACCTTCCAGGAACTTCCATTGACAGCATTGCAAATATTAACCTTCCCATACTGCCAGAGGAGTTTGAGTTGTGTTTATGTTGCAAATAAATGCATATTTTCTATTTATACTCAATCTAAATTATTCTTTAATCTACCCAATGCACTAAAAGTTTGGCTATTTTATCAGAGAATTTGTCTTACATTGCATAAACCTCATTTTTCTTGTTTTATAAGGCACACACTTAATTTATATTAATTATTCCTCATCACTTCCTCCATAGAAAGCTTCTAACTATATCATGATATCATTTTATTTCTAATAACTAATAAGTTGAACACAGTATAAACATTTTACAGCAGACCACATGCCCTGAAAATGGTTACGACAGTGTCCAGTTATAAAAAATGACCATCAGATGTCAGTAAAAGCACACAAACAGGTGAGGAACTATTCACAGTTGTCTGTGTGTTACTGTTGCTACAGTTGGTACTATAACTCCTGCTGTTGTATGTTACAGTTTTGTTTTTTTCTTCTCTTTTTTTTACAACTGTAAACATGCATCATAAGATCAGCCTTGAGTTTCTTTTTTCAGAACTCTACTCAGTCAGCACAACAAAAGTCACTGTGGACTAGACTGAGGATCAGTTATACTTGCTTTGACACACAATGCATTCGGTGACCAGGTCTTTCACAATTCATTAACAGTTTTGTCACTCAAAGTCAACCACCACCAGACCTCCTCATGTTTAAGCCCCATTTTGCATGTTCATTGTAAAACTGTTTCATTTATGTTTCCAACCAAACGTTATATATAAAATCACTGTAAGTTTCTACATTCTACTTTATCTATTAAGACATAGAAAATACAACAGAAAATGCACAAACTCCTAAAAGGGACATACAACACTGAGCAGCAATTGTCATTCCATGGAAAATTATGAAAGACTTCTGCCAGGTCAGGAAAGAGGGAAGGTGATGTGGAATCCATAGCGTTTTGTAAATGTATGAGATGTGGTGTTTCACCATTCTGCTCTAGTCACAAAGTGGTTGACAGCTCATTCCAGGATATTGTCACTTTTTCTTCAACGTTACACTCCATTCCTCAACCCATTAAAGAAATTATTTTCCTAACGGAGGTGGAACGTTTATGACCACCAGCCACACAATCAAATGTTCCTCTCGAACACAATAAGTGCTTGATGTCTGGATGTATCTGTAGAGGATTGCAGGTATCTCACATTTTAAAGGCAAAAGCAAACAAGCAAATGTTGCATATTTTATTTGATTAATGACCAAAAATATGAATCAGTTAGCATAACTTTACTACACAGTCTTGTCATCACTACACACACAATTGGCCTTGGATGTCAACAGAGACATATGCATTTAAAACAACTCAAAACTCATCAAATAAATCATTGCAAAACAAGGAAATGCAACACAAAAACATATTTTGTCAATGCATAGGAAATGCAACTCCTCACAAACAATAATAATAATAATAATAATAATAATAATAATAATAATAATAATGACAACAAAAATAATAATAACATTAATGAACTTTATTTCTGAAGAAACTTTCATACATTTTAAGCACTGAGTGCCACAAAGTGTGGCACATGTCAGGAGAAGTGGAGAACAAATAAGTCTGCACACCAAGCATCCATCCATTTAGAGGGATTTTAATGCAGAGTGACGTTTGGAGCCCACAGCTCTTCCTCAGACTTTTGATAAAAGACAGAAAGCCACCATCTTTAATACCCATAGTGCCCGGACCAGTCAGGTGACATGCCACACCTGTTGAACATATTCATAATGACAATAAACCAAGAAAATATGTATATGTACCTGCTTAGCCCAAAATTGTACCAGAGCTACTTGTGATACATATATAAGGGTAAAAAAAACAGAATATACACATTTTATATCCAATAACAGATGACATAATTTACATGTATATTATACATGTAAATTATGTCATGAAATGATCTAGTAAGTTGCCGTCATATATACATATAAAAAACACATCTTGATATGTCACAGTTGCTGCTCACCAGCAGCAGAATGCATTACAGTGTGATCATACTGTTTATACACAGTCAGGCCACACATATAAATAAAGGGAACTATCAGGAACCCTCTAAAAAGTTTAAGTAGTTGCCCCATTTTTTAAAAATATTCATTTAGTCAATCTTCCAAACTACATATAGGACATATTTCCAAATGCCATGTCTGCAGCCCATTCTTGGACTAAGGGCAGCCCTCAGTTGTCCATTCTCTGAGACGAATCTGTCTGTGTATAATAATACTAGTTTGGACCTTAGTTCTAATGTATGTCTCATTCATCACCTAAAATAAATAATGTGGCCTCAGTGGGATTTGGGTCTCTGAAATCTGACAAAGATGATCATAAATATCTCTTTTTTAATAGTGACCTGGCCAAGAGGGCAGCAAAGTTATGTCAAGTACTTGTTAATTGCTCACATACCATAAAATACACAATAGAGAGTAAAAACTACTGTGTGTGCATGCATCAAAAGAAAACTAACCTTCTTTTAAATTTTTTAGAGAGATAAGGGAGTCTAGATTGAATCTAGCCTGCAGGTCATTCCAAGACCAAGATATGTCATAAAAAAGACTCCTTTTTCCAGCCTCAGTCCACATGGATGGCACCAATTTGCGTCCATCCAAACACAAGAGCATCAGTGAGGACACTGATGTTGGTTGATCAGAACTGGCTCATAGTCT